ATGCCCCTGTTTAGGGCCGGGAATCCGTGCCACGTGACAATGTTTACTTCACCTCGGGTGGCCGGGCTAGACGGTGTGTGCCTGGAGACTTTTTAGCTACACGATTCAGTGATAAACATCGGAATAAGTTGCCGATACAGGTGAGTTTGTGTTCTCTGATGTGTTAGCCAAAGCTCAGGCTGTCACGGTTGTAGCTGCGAGGTAACGGCACATTAGCCTCGACAGTCGTAATTGTCTCTTGGCTTGGGATGTTCATAATATTTGTAATTAATTTTGCAATGTCTGTCAGCAAAAGGCCGTGGCTTTTAAAACAGGAAGAACAACGTATTGTAAGTCAACGAGAGCCAACCTTTAACGTTAATTCGGCGTGTGTCCAAAACAACAAGAAACTGTTCTTCCTTTGATATTTCTGCTTTTCCTGGGGAAATGTGAGGCTACTTCCTGGGTCTGTCCCCGCAGGTGACAGTGGGCTGAGACCTTTCCAAAGGCTGGCTTTTCGTTGATAGGTAAGTGGTATGTTAGCCGAATTGAAAAACAGTTTCCACGTTTCTGACAGGTTTTGTAGTGGGATTTTATGACAAATGCGTTTTAAATAGAACAAGGAAAAGAGTTTAAATGAGCACATATGTATAAGAAATGTCGTTTCCGTCAAAAAAAGTGAGAACGCCACAGTTTACGTAGGAAACCTAGCTAGCTAAGCTAATGCTAACCCCAAACTGAGTCGTAGGCGTCTTTTCCCCCTGCTGTTTCCGTACATTAACGAATAGCAGTAATAACATTTCCTTTGCTAAATTAATGTTTAAATGGTGCCTCGCAACAAGTTTGCTCATAACAAAATCCCCTTTCTTTCATTTTAGGTCCAGATAGAACTAAGTTTCACTTTTGGTTATCACGCGTGTTTGCGCTCTCAACAAATGATAACTACCCTAATTTGCAGTATTACACACAGGTAAAGGTGGTAAATGTAATGTGTCCAGCGTTATCACAGCTCGCAGGGAGACACTAAGACACGACGTCAAATCGCTGTAATTTCCTGAAAAGCCAAGTTAACATCGTAAACACCTTTTTGTTGGGTTTGTGTTTACAAAGCTGGTAACAGAAAAACCAACACAACGAAGGATCATCGAGTACATGCATAATTTAGAAGAGGAGAAAGATAAAGAGTGAGAGTTACCATAAGATTTGGATTGGAACATTTTTTAAATTCTCAAGTATGTCCTTCAGACTAATCTGACTCGTTTAAGGTGGATGGCACCTGGCATTAATGTACCTGCTGAAGGGGCTCTGGTTTCCTCCAGTGCTGAGGAAACATCTTTGCTGCTATAAAGCCATGACTACTGGTCACACAGCATTCTGTCTGAACGTTTGTTCCCAGTAGATAACCAGCAGCATTCAGCAGATTCATAACATTGTGCTGACAAATGAGCAATGGAAGCTGAAGAGTGGGCCCCCTAGCCCTTTGCAAAAGTTGAAACTGGATTATGTAGTACACCAATTAAATTTGTTCTGGTCAAAATATAACATTACAAGTCTCATACTGCATCTCATGGTATTTAACATTTAAGAAGATTTGGATTTTCTAACTAGAAAGCTTGAGCACATAAACTACGTTTCTCTAAATATTACATCATGTACAGTGCGGTTATTATTAGATGAAAACAAATGCCATAGCTTCATCCCTCGTGTCAACGCCGTGTTGCCTTTCCACTCAGCAGAGATGAACACCTTCAAGCAGAGAGCCAGGGGTCTAGTGGTCGCCTACGATGACAGTCTGGAGCAGCAAATTGTGGGACAAGGCTCCAGCATGGCATGTAGAGATGATGAGCTATGGAAGCAGGTGGAGGGGCTGCTGAAGGCTGGGGATGCTCAGGAGATGCACTGCCTCGCCCTGGACCCACTGAAGGTGATGGAGGAGTCACTAGTGGCAGCAGCAGTAACGGCCCCCGGTGGTGGACAAGTCAAAGGCAGAGGAGGGCTGCGAGGCCTGGCTAAAGCTTTTGAAGTCCTCGAACAAGCGGCCCTGAACCTATATCTCGGCCCCTGGAGGGAAGAGTATAAAGCTGTCAAGGTAAACTGATTTTAAAGAAGAATGGTGTGTGTGTGTGTGTGCGCGTGTGTGTGCGTTTTTATTTTACCATGACAACCCAGTTCATGAGTTGTAGTGTGATGTTTGTCTTACATTGTCATTTTGGCCAGATCCTTTTAAAAGCAGTATTGTCAAGAGACCTCCTGGTTAAATAATATATATTTTTTAATACATTTTTATTAGTGACAACCTGACATCTTTTCCCATTTTTGCTGTCTCTTCTTCACTGTTGTGTCCCAGATGTACTCTGGTGTGTTTACCCACTCTATCAAGCCGGTGCTGTCGATGCCACAGGTTGAGAAACTGTTCGGTCTTTTAGGATACCAGCCCAGCTCGGATCGGCCAGAGCAGCTTCGTCTCCAGTCACCCAGAATAAAGCCCGGCGCTCTGAACAACCTTCTTTGCTTGTCTTGTGCCTTCTTCTTGGCCCGCTGTGAGTGTCACCTCCTCCTGACGGCTCTGGGGAGGCACGCTGGGGAGACCCAGTGGGAGCTGAGTGTCGTGAGAGAGAGGCAGAGAGGAAACAACCTACAGGTACATTTGGCAAATGTATCAGCCCTGGAGTGAGATCTGTCTTTTGAAATGCTGCATTTAGCAGCTCCTCTGTGGAGAGGGGATGTTTTTTTTTTTTCTCTCTCTCTATGACTCACCTGTTCTGCCCCACTCATCCCAAGCTCATGCTGTGCTGCCAGACATTGTTCAGGCCCACAGATGTTTTTTTTTTGTTGTTTTTTAGTTTTAGTGGAGATGTCAAAGCTTCCAAAGATACCAAATAAAGGCAGAATTTTAAAGGCATCTGCATAAAATAAGGGTGTAGACATAAAAATATTTATATTTGATGCACTGATGATGAAAAATCAAAGTCTTGGGCTTGAATAATTCACTGCTGACTTTCAATACTCCACAGTTTTATATACTTAGTGATACAGGCACGTTTCAGTACTGCAGCTCAATGCTCAGCCCTGCACCATGTCAAGTAACTTCCAAACGCTGGAGAATTGCTCACTGAGCACAGCATCAGTGAGATCTAGTGAAAGGTAACAGACATTTTGCTACTGAGGATTTATTGTCCATGCATCCCAACAGGTTGCCTTGGATAACACTGAGAAGTTGTTGGTGAATCTGTATGATGGTGAAGCGGACATGGATCTGTACACAGATGAGCAGGTTAATGGCAGCCAAAGTGAGGCGGTTGTCAGTGACGATGCAACTCCCCACTCTGTATCCTGGATGACTCAAAGCAGTGCATCACCCCAAGCTGCCAGAACATACAACAGCGGAGTGTCATCCATGTCCCTGCACACCAGCGAACACGCCTGCATCTCTACACTCAGCTGCCAGCTGATATCACCTTTGGAGTCCGATGCTGACAGGAGCTCCTCAGCCGGCAAGAGGCAAGGCAGACGTGCCTGTGAAGAGTCAAGGATTGACACGGCAGATTTACAGTCACAGTTAGATGTGGCTGGGCTTATCAAGAGGGAAGCCAAACACCTCTGCATCTGTCACCGGTCTCCTGATCCTTATCTTCAACACTGTGTTGATTGCAGAGCCTTTCACAATATCACCTGTGCCTTGCTTAAGGGTTGCCTGGCAGGGGGTCACCATGTGTTAAACCCTGACAGGAAGAGGGAAGAAATAGAGGAGTCTGGATCAGTGTCATCACAGAGCAAAAGCCTCAGAGTGACTGACATGAGAGCGCCACCGACTCTCACCGGCAGCAGTGCAGCAGTGTCCTCCTCACTTCTGTGCGATGACCCTGAATCAATAATTACAGCTGTTCATCCAATCACCTACCATGACTGCTGCAACCTCAACCGGCTGGACCCTCAAGTCCTGTGTGTCAGCTGTGGTGTCTTCCACTCTCATTCCTGCCCAGGGATGAGAGACTTCTGCCAAACTCAGCACACCATCAAACAACTGGGGTTGTGCATATGTGGGAAGCGATGCACCAGAAAGCCTCTGGTTCTGTGCAGGTATTGTGGAAATGAGTACTGTATTAATTGTTGGTACAGAAGCCCTGTTGTGTGCAGCTGTGGTCAAACATTTGACCAGTCATCCCCTGTGTGAGCTCTAGTGAAGCACAACTAGTGAAATCACAGCGCCTTAAATTTGTACTACAGACCCAGTAAATCAGAAGCTCACATGCTGCCTTGACAAGTGCTGAAGTGCCGTATGAAGTGTGCTTCAGTTTGTCTTCTTTCTTTCTTTACTGTCCTCCAGTTACTGTGTAAATGGGCATATATAAAATATTGTGTGTATTGATGACACAAAGTTGTGATCACAGTTTGTTCCTGTAGAGATGGACAGATGGTGTTAAAGCTTGTTTGACTTCAGTGAAGTGTAGAGCTGCTGGAGCTTGTGTCAAGTGAAGAGAACCTGACCACTGGTGCTTCACTGAGCCAGGGAGTTATTAAAGTTTGGCAGTTGAACTGTACGACAGGCACATCAGTGGAATAAGATGAGAGGATCATCACCAGAAAGCCACGTATGAGAGAAATCCTCCTAGTTCTAATGTAATCAGAGGATTAGCATCGTTTGATGACTGTCACATTGCAGTACGACTCCTGTGACTTCTATAAGTATCAACCCACTGCACGCTGACACTGGACCTTCAATCTAAAACTGTTCAGCCAGTGAAGAGCACTAGTGCCTCAGCTCCAGTCTGCAAGTGTTGCTCTGAGTTTTACAAGCCACCAGATGTCACTGTGCTTTCTTTGCTTGAAGCCCTGACGCGTTCAGTCTTTACCTGGCACAAGCAGAAAGACCCAAAGCTTCACAAGTCACATCTCCATTTCTTAAGTCACTTAAATGTTCTTTGGTGCAAAGCACAAGTTGGTGTTCGTCTGCATTTGTTGCCAGGACACAGACTGGGGTACAAAGGGTCAATGCGACATTTAGTATCTGTGTTACATGTATGTTTTATAATACACGAGCAAGTGAGTTTGTTGACAGTGGAATTATATTTGAAAGAGCCCCTGAACAAACCAGTTATATGTCAGATTATAGTTTTCCTAACTAATTAAATAAAGGCCTTTCTCAGAACATTTTCACTGGCTGAGTATTCATTCGTAGTTTGGTTGATGAGAAGTAGAAGTTTCTTACAGCTTAGTTTAACATGTATGTCTCTTACTTTATCCAACCAGCAGTCTGCAACCCGGGTCACACAGGATTGTGGAACCAGATTTTTTTTTTAACCTAAATTTGACATAAGTATGAAGGAGATGTGTTGATCACAGGTCATTGTTAAAAATGGGGGAGATTATATTTTTGTTGACTGGTGGTTTCAGCCTTAAGCTCAGTGACAGTTTGTGGCGGCTGTGGCTCAGGAGGTAGAGCGGGTCGTTTCCTAACCGGAAGATTAGCGGTTCGATTCCCGGCGTGTCTGTCAACTGTACCCCCAGTTGCTCCCGGTGATGTCACCGGTGTGTGTGTGTTTGGGAGTGCGAATGGGTGAATGGCCAAATAGTGTGAAAGTGCTTTGAGTGTGCTGTAAAGCATAGAAAGGCGCTATACAAATATTCTACCATTTGTGGGGTTTCCCAGCATATGCAGTTCAGATTTCTCAGCCTGGTGTCCTAATTCATAGACTTCATAAATCACCTAATTAGGATGTGCAGGCTTTTCCTCACATGGGTTAAATCAAAGTCTTATCAGTTGTTATTATCAATTACTCATTTAGGAATATCCTGCTGACAAAACTGCAAAAACCCATGCTGGTCCCGGAGAAGCGGGAACCCTGGCGTCCATCACAGAGACCAGCCTGCTGACCTATTTTGAAGCACTGTATGATTTGGGTGTTCTACTTGCTCTTTAAATACGACAGTGATTTTTGTCTTGGGTTATCTGGACACAAACTGTATAAATGTTTGTCCCAAGCATCAAAGCAGGTCTCTGACAACAGCAGAAATGTTCCAGCTGTTAGAAGTGCCTCTGATTTTCCTGGGTCACGCCTGCTCATGTCCCAGACATGTCCCAAGACCCCTGCCCTAACCAGATTAGGTTCTGTTGTGACAATTCTTATTAAATAAAAGAAGGATTTGTTAGATTTTACCCACATTCTTTTATTGAAAGTGCGAGAAGTGAAGACACGAGAGGACCATTTAAAATCAACAGAAAGTTTACTGGACGTCTGAGCACAGGTATAGCCATACAGCGCTGGGATCAGAGAGACCGAGCTCCCGCAGGAATTCCATTCTCTGAGCCACGAGTTACGTTTTCACAATACTTTTAAGTTCTTGGGCTACTCCGCCCTGGACATTCCACACTTCGTAATCCTGTTGGCCATTTGGTTTAAGTAGGTCAACCCCTGCCTGTGCTTGCATGCTGATGTGTGATCTAGACCAGGTGTGTGTGTGTCTCCGGCACCCTGATCTTGATCTCAAGATGCACTGCTCAATGGGTGTATATATAGGCAAGGAATATAAATGTATTAAAAATAACCAAAGCTCAGTAGTTCTGGACAATCATCAATACAGCTGTAATATGTATAAACAAGGAAATAAAGTTATGAAAACTAACTAAAGCTTATAAAGTAACTAGAGCTTATAAGAATCAAATCTTACAGATTGAGACCCTTTTGTCTTTTTTATTAAAAGCTTTTTGAGCAGAAGGGCTCAATGAATACACAAGGAGGTGGAGAGAGCACAGAAGTTCTTTATACAGGAATAAACGGGTGCAGTAAATCGGCTGTGGGGGAGGACGGGAGTAAGTTTCAGTGAGCAACAAAGTTTCCTATCTAAAGAAGTCAAGGCTGGGTCTTCAGCCACAGAGTTGAACAATTTCTGCTTTTCCCAGCCTCATCCCAGCAGCTGCCTACTTTAACTCAGTAGCGATGCATATGCAATTTACAAATGCACACGAATAACAAATTGTTCCCACAGTTCATATGCAGTCACCCATTTTTGCCTTCTCCAGTGCTGTAAATCTGCCCATAAGGATGAGTTTTTAACCAGTATCTAAGAAATTCCTATAGATTTTTGATCAAGCTATACTACCTTTTGGAAATCTTGACTCATATTTTATATCAACTGAACACATGGCAGCCATTGAGAAAAATGGGTGATGGTCTTTGTTCTACAAGCATGTTTCTCCAACTCTAAGTAGTACCATAGTGGCGTTGCTCAATATGGAGGACATGATTTACTCATTTTATTGTGAACATATCAGCCTCTTCATTCATCAAACATAGTCCTGAGAACTTAATCTTGGCTTGCACTTTTAAATATAACTGCTCTGGGATGCTTCCCCACAGCCTCTAGTAATCACAAAAACACTTGTAGTGATGGATTTTCAGTCAAAACGGGCCACAGCGATCCTGATCCTGATATCTTATCACAACCTGAATCAACAACTAGAATGTTATCACTCTGTGCATCCCCCAAAGGTTTTCATGGGAAAGCTGAAGCATCAGCAACATTTCAATGTTTGTGCTCTGTCGTGCTGTCTATTCGTTATGCGTTTGCCAGTTGATGTTGATGAAGGTCTTGCTGTCCATGCGGTCAATGTAGAGGACCCCATGCAGGTGGTCCATCTCATGTTGGAGGATACGAGCTGGCCATCCACTGGCCTGCCATGTGACAGCTTCACCCTTCTCATTCAGACCTGTAGGATGAGCATTCACAGGGACAAAACAAATATGCAAAAAGGGATTAGCGGTTGCCATTTAATGCATCTGCAAATATGATACTTAGCATCCCATCAGAGAGTTTGCATAGGATGAAAACCCTCACCAACAGGTTCTGCATTTTGAAACTTCTTTATATTTTGGGTGAATCACAAAGCCACATTTTATTCAGCCCCAAGAGACTCGGAATGAACAGATGAGAGTTGGCACAAATGTTATAAATTTCTAAAAACAATATAGGAAACACAGGATTAAGCTCTGAGTGTGCGTACCAGACACCTCAACAGACAGGTAGCGAGGAACTGTGGCAGAGAAGCCCGAGATGCTCTCACAGGCCTCCTGAAAAAGTACAGTTCGTCCATCCAGCACCCTCATCTGGGGGTTGACAAAAATCCTCAGGGGCTGGACGGAGAGTCCACGGACCTCCCTCAGTGTGGGTGAACTTTTATCCAATATCTTCTGAGGATATTCCAGGGCCAAGATGCGGAGTGGCACCCCGATCTGAGGTGCACTCAGCCCCACACACTCAAGCCTCTGCATTACTTTCACCATGGTGTTAATAACTTGTTGGATCTCAGGGCCTGTTACAGCTGCGGGGTCAACAGCAGCTACGTGTGAACGCAGCACAGGGTCCCCTACCTGGCACACATGACTGTATGGAGGCCTGGGAGGAGAGAAAACCTTGCGTTTCATGTACTGAAGGTAGGAGCGGACCCTGATGTTGCTAGAGTAAGAGCGTCTGCAGGGTACAGGTGAGTCAGGTGAGGCATGTGAAAGACAAGTGGAAGTCACTGTTGTTACTCTGGTTCTGCAGCGAGTGGCATTGGATGCCTGAAGTCTGAGCCCCATCCTGGACAGCCGAAGCAGACATATGCATGATTGTGTGTTCATGGTGGATCTGCAGATTGCGTGCTGTAGCCCACGTCAACGAGGTGACATACGGTGCTGTAGGGATAAAAAAAAAAGAAGGTTCTTAAACGTGTGATAAAGACTGGGTGTCATGTTTTTGGACTGAGGTCACTGCATTGA